AAAAATTAAATGAATAAACTAAGCAAATGGTATCCACTCCAGGATGTGGTTTCAGGCAAAAATGTAGAGAAAACGCGGGGAACTATTAGATATTAAAATAGGAATACAACAGGCAAGAGAAGCATTCATAGCACTGAGCAATTTGCACAGGCCAAAAGAAAACAAAACTTATACTAAACCTTAAATTTGTTTAATTCTTATGAACACTGCTGTATGGAGCGAAAACACGCAGAGCAACACAATCGGTTGCTAATAAACTAAAACCTATTCATTAACCGATGGCTGCTCAAAATAGAGGGAATTAAAAAGTACTATAGAATCACTAATGTTGAACTTTGAGGGGAGAATAAACAAGTTCCAGTGCACCAAGATGTAGCGAAATGACGCTAGTGCTGGATGGGCCCTTAAGAACAATATAACAAGAATGTCTTTCCACTGGAACTCACATGGCATAGAAATAAGGGCACTAAAAAAATCACGGAGAAGAGAGCTAGAAAAGGAAATTAAAAAAACAGATAGGACATAGGGTGAACTGCATGCAATAGCAAAGAATATAACAATTTAGCGTGAGCTGGTCGGGGATCTATGCTCCATAGGGGAACAGATGTTAGAAGAAGATACACAAGATATCTCACACTGGCGATATTTGACGTTGAGATATCTCACACTGGCGATATTTGATGTTGAAATATCTCAAACTGGCGATATTCGACGTTGAGATATCTCACACTGGCGATATTTGATGTTGAGATATCTCACACTGGCGATATTCGACGTTGAGATATCTCACACTGGCAATATTTGATGTTGAGATATCTCACACTGGCGATATTCGACGTTGAGATATCTCACACTGGCGATATTTGACGTTGAGATATCTCACACTGGCGATATTTGATGTTGAAATATCTCAAACTGGCGATATTCGACGTTGAGATTTCTCACACTGGCAATATTTGATGTTGAAATATCTCAAACTGGCGATATTTGACGTTGAGATATCTCACACTGGCGATATTTGACGTTGAGATATCTTACACTGGTGATATTTGACGTTGCATAGTTCTGTTGTTGGACTTTGAAAGAGAATAACTGTAGTTTGTTCTTTAAATTTTTTTAAAATTATTTTTGTTGTTGAAATTATGGCCTCACATCGGATTAAATCACTTGACAACCTGACTGGCAGGCAAGATTGCTAGCCACTATCGTCCCCGTGACTTACCAACATTTACTATAATCATATTAGTTTATGAAGAGATTGATTTTTATTGTATGTAAATTTCTTGTTTCCTATGTTTGTTCTCAACACGATGGTCGGCACGTTGGTGTTATGGTTCATAGCTAAGCTGCCATATCTGCGCCTTTCAGCCCAGTACACCTGATTCCATCAAATCCTAATTAGTCGCCTCTTACAATATGCATTTGCGGCGTCCGTGGCTAAGGCGTTGCGAGTCCGACTCGTAAGCCAGCATACCGCCATCGAAACCCACTGCAGGCTGCGTGGATTTTTGTCGTGGTATGGGACGTCGCAGGTCGACCCAGCCTAAAATGGGTACCAGGATGGGCTGTCCTGGGAAAGTAAAGACAGCCGGCGTAATGCTGACCACATTACCCACAGAGTGCTGATGGTCTGTAAAAATATGGGACGCTCTGCCCATATGCCCGATGCGCCGAAAGGCGTGGAAAGGGATCTTTACTTTTTTTTTTTTTACAATATGCATTATAGGTAGCAGTTGGTCCTACCCTTTCCCTCTCTCCCCATCAACCCCTGGTGGGTTCAGTAACGCAAACGTGGATAACTGAAACAGTAATATTTGTTTTTATTTACTGAGCACTTACTTCTGTTTCCTTGGACCATTTCCAGAGTGGAGATACTCGGTGAGTCACTTTTCTCGGCTCGACCAGCATCTGAGCCAATGTGGGTTGCAAATTTACATTCAGCAGAACTGAGAGATGCGGTTACCATCCGCCTGAACTACCTGACTGGAATCACCAAAGGAAAGTGAGGCAATTTAAATAACAGATTTAACATTTCATTGCTCTTCTTTAAAAAAACTATATTTATGTCTCTCCCTAATTTGTTCTCTTGTGTATGGTACATTTAACAAATGGCTAATATCTTTAACCTTTTTTAAAATTTATTTTTTTCTGGGTCACCAGTCGTTCTTTTACACCTTATAGTCGCTCTCTCTCCTCTCTCTCTCCCCTCTCTCTCTTTCTCACAAACACACACACACATATATATATATATATATATATATATATATATATATATATATATATGTGTGTGTGTGTGTGTGTGTGTGGGTGTGTTTGTATGTGTGCAAAGGATGACATTGGGTAATAGGCAAGTGTATAAGCTCTTTCAACGAGACATTTTTTTCTCGGGTTTTACAACATTATTATGAGCTGAATTTTTTTTTTATTACAGCACTATGACAATGCTAACACCATCCTGAATAAAATGTATTGGATGTATAAGGACACATAATTTATCAAA